AAATAAATAAATAAATAAATAAATAAATAAATAAATAAATAAATAAATAAATGAAAGGAGGTCACTCAGCCAGGGCTGGGGAGCCACAGCAGGGCCCCTGGGACCCGGGAAGAAAGGCCAGCTTCGTACATCTCCCAGGAGGCGCCCTGGGAGGCCAGGAAGATGAGGCTCGCCAAGCGTCTCTGCACTGGGTGGCAAAAGCCTTTCCAGGGGAGCTGCTGGGCCACCTTACCTCACACCCACTGCAGCCTCCACCCACCACATGCTTCGGAGCCCTGCCTGCCCTCCCCGCCCACATGGCCCTTGCCCAGACCCACTCACAGGTGCTGCGGGGACCATTTGCCTTGGCAACTCACAGCCACAGACAGGAACGCTGCCCTCATTCAGAACCCTGCCGGGCTCCTGGTTCTGGCCCATCAGGACACAGACAGCCTGGAGGGCCACGACCCCCTCCCCCTTCCCTCCTGCGGATGAGGGGGGGCCTCGTGATGACTGTGGTAGTCATCGGGTGTCCTCCACCTGAGAAACAGGCGCCATGGCTTACTCCCAAAACTGGCTCACCTGACTTACATGGAAGGGCACTCAAGGGGCCCCAGGGTGAGCCCCGCCACCAGCCACCTTAGTTCTGTTATCAAATGTTTCACAGCGTCTGGGGCACCCACTGGCAGCCCCTTGCCCAGACCATGGACCACAGCACTGAAGCAGGGCCAAGGCCCCTTGAGTCACTGCAAGGTCCAGCCCCCTGTGGCTGCAAATCAGGGGACCCTCGGGCCAGTCAACGCAGGGTCTGCTGAGGCACTGGAGGTGGCTCGCAGCCCCCGTGGGAAGAACAGATGGGACTTGCCTCCAGGGCCCCTGAGGCACCACCATGGTCCCTAACAGACCCCAAGTGCCAGGACACGCAGCAAACAAACGGACCGGCCATCAGCAAGAAGGTCGTCCAAACCCCCCATGCGGGATGGGCTGAGGAGCCGGCTGTGCACACACAGCCTCGAGAGTAAATCCCACCACCCGGGGCCCACGGCAGAGCAGCGTGGAGGGCAGGCGGAGGCCGGGTGTGTGGTCAGGGCCCTCCTCAAGGGAGAGGCCTGGCAGAGGGAGGCAGGGCACCTGGAAACCAGGGAGCTGGTGAGGCAGGGCCAGGATGACTGCGTGGGGGCCTGAGGCCTCTGGCTCCAGACTGCAGGAGGGAGGGGGGTGGCTCCAAGAGCCCCTAGCCTCTGCCTCTGCCCAGCCCTATGCTACCCTGCCATGATCTCCGGCTCCTAGCAAGCCCAGCCACAGGACAGTACTGGCTGTGCCAGAGAGAGGTCCCTGGTCCTGAGTAGGGCGGAGCCTCCAGTACCCGTACGATGGAACACAATTGAGCCACGAAATGGAAGAAACGCTGGCCCCCGACAGTAAGAGGGGAGGAGACTGGCACAGGCTACTGCACGATCAGCCTCGAGAACCCTCCGCGCCACATGAGCCACCAGGCACCAAAGGTCAGACGCTGTGGGATTCCGAAACAGGCGAGTCTACGGAGGCCGATGGCAGGTTGCTGACTGGTGGAGCCAAGGGCACAGGGGTGACTGCTGACTGGAAAGTGCTCTAAAATGGACTGAGTGATAGACGCACAGCTGCAAACACTCAACCACTGGGCTGTGGCTGTGAAATGGTGAACTGCTGGTGACATGAATTACATCTTAATAAGGCCGTGAGCAAAAACCCACAGTGCCTCAAGGGGAGAGGAGAGCTCAGGTTCCTGGACCCTAGCAGGCAGCTGAGCCCTCAGTGGGCTGGCCTCAGTATCCCCAGCTCCAGAACCCCAAGCCGGGGACGTTCCCAGGAAAGTTCCCTCTAAGACACGCTCTCACACCCGGCCTGGGTGCTCAGGGGTGGCTCACACCTGCACTGCCCTGGCCTGCCGGGAGGAAGCTACGGCCCTCCAGGCCGCGGGGGCGCCGTCCGCTGCTTAAGTCTTCAGAAAGCAAAGTCGCAAAATGCTCCAAGGTGGGAGGAAAAAGAAAAATAGACATAGGCTCTACCAACAAATACCTATTTCTCCTCCTCAACTCCCTATTGCCACTGCTCGGGATCTGTGCGCAGAAACAGCTGGAGGAAGGCTCGCTGCGGCAGCCTCAGGCAGGAATACTAAGGCCTCCACGATGGGCCCATCATGGAGAGACCCAACACTGCAGCCTGCCCAGAGTGTAAAACAGAAAGGATCACAAGACCCATTCACAGCTTACCTGGAGTGAAAAACAGGATCGAAACAAAGGCTGGGGACACGGGAAGAGGTGGCTGGAGAGGGGAGGGCGCCTAGAGAACGGCCTGAGTCGTGTCCCTTCAACTGTGCACCAAGCGTGCCTGAGTGGGAGGCTGCAGACAGCAGTGGCCACCCGAGGGACCCCCATATGGCTGTTTCCACAGACTCTCACTTATTCTTCTCATCTGCCCCTGGCCCAGTCCCGTCCTCTCCTTTGGGGCCGATCCTGCTCCACCAGGTGACCCCACGCTGGAAATCTTCCGGCTTGGCCTGCAGGGTATGGGCAGACCTGCCTGGCTTCCCTGCAGTCAAGGAGTGAGTGGGGCACAGGCTCTGAGCAGGAACCGGCCTCCAGTCCCAGGGTGAGGCCACAGCCATTCATGAACACCCACATCTGGTATCAAGGAGATGGTGGCACACACACACGCAGACACACGCACACGGGCAGGTGTGTGCGGGGCTTGCCAAGGCTTGAAAACTTGACTGCCAGCAGGAAGGGAGCGGCCTGGAGGCCCGGGCTTCACCCACAGCCACACCTTGCCCGCCCCAGGGTGCAGCCCAGAAGCTTCTACCTGGGTGACTGGCCAGGGATTTTCCTGTTGTTTCTTTTACAAACGACTGGGCATCTTGTTTTGTGTGTCCCTCTCATCTGTATCACTATGACCCCAGCAAGTGGGCGAGGGGTTTCTGGGTCTGGCCTGTGTCAGGCACCATCCAGGTTCCGGTGTACACACATCAGGCCGTGCCTGTCATTGGCCAGGCCATCTTAAGTCCTAGCCCACTCAGCATGCAGCACCGGTGACACTGGCGGGATGGTGAGAGAAACACCACCAAAGCCGCTCCCTCGAGGAACCTGAAGTACCACCTGCCTTGAGCGGCCAGCCCTGTGGGTGGCGGCCACAGCCGCTTAGAGAAACAGACTGGGACCTGACTCCTTAGAGGAACAGACTGGGACCTGACTACTCCAGAGGAACAGACTGGGACCTGACTCCTTAGAGGAACAGACTGGGACCTGACTCCTTAGAGGAACAGACTGGGACCTGACTCCTTAGAGGAACAGACTGGGACCTGACTCCTTAGAGGAACAGACTGGCACCTGACTCCTTAGAGGAACAGACTGGGACCTGACTCTTGGGCAGGGATCAGGGGAACAGAGGTGAGAGGACTCCATGTGGGTTTCTGCTCCTTTGGCCAAGAACCTTCCAGCAACCCTGGAAGGCTGCAGAGAGCAGGACAGAGCCCCACAGGTGGAGCTGACCATCCCGCTGGCCTGGGGGCATCGGGCCCACTGCTCCTGAGGTCTACCAGGGGCACATGGCCTGCCTCTGTCTGATCCCACCCAGGGGGCTGCTGGCCACTCCCCGTGGACGAGGAGGGCTGAGGGGTGAGCAGCCCCGAGGTGAAGCGAGAGGCACCACAGCGGGGGTGGCAGGCCTACCTGCAGCTCCTTGTCCGAGTACTTCTGAGGATTCTTGCTGCCCTGGCTCTTCTTCCGAAGCTTCTTCAGCTCAGCCTGACACTTATCCAGGGCATCGCCTTTGCTCCTCTGCTCAGTCTGGTATTTCTTCAGCGCAGCCTGAGAGTCAAACAATAAAACACAAAACCAAGGCCCATGAGCCCAACGCAGCAGGGTCCCCTTGGCAGCCCTGACGCTCCCTTCCTGGCCTGCTCTCCGGCTGCGCAGCTCATCGGCAAATCAGAGCTGTGGAGAGCGCAACTGAGGCCTCAGCCCGACCGCACCCCACCCCGTGGCAGCTCTCTGGTCCCCGAAGATGAAAATCAGACTTGGAAAAACTGGCCAAGGCCCACCCTTCCCGCCCACCACGAAGAGCCAGAGATGACTCTCAAACCCTCGAGCAGCGCCTCAGGCCCAAGCCTTCTTGCCAATTGACAGGAGTGGCAGTGGGGCAGGACGGGCCGAGAGCCCAGGGAACTGCAGAGGCCAGAGAAGGAGCTCCTGCACTCCCGGGCAGCAGAGTCAGGCACCAGCTTCACCGCAAGTGGTCAAAGCCGAGGCATGAACTGGGCACGAACATGGGGCATCAGAGGCAATGGGTTCACCCACAGGTTGCATTTGGGGCACACCAGGGGCACTCGGTCCCAAATGGACAATGAAGTCAGAGCTGGGGCCCACGCGGACAGGGAGCTCAGGGGAAGTGGGAAGCCTTCAGGCCGAGGGAAGGAGCGACAGGCATTCAGGAGAGTAGGAGCCCAGGCACAGGGCCCCAGCAGGCCAGGGTGCACTTACACTCAGGTACCTGGAGTCCAGCTCCACCTTCTGCTCCAGCTGCGTGAGCAGCTCGTTGTGAAAAGACTTCAGCTGGACATGGAGAGAAAACATACCAGCCGTCAGCTCCAACACATGGACCCAGAACAGGAGGCGGCGCAGGGCTAGGGCGGACGGTCACGAGACCCCGGGTGTCCCGGCTGTGTAGGAGCCCCTCCCCCTGACTGACGGGCCGTGGCTCTGCATGGCCAGGTGCGCCCTATGGAGCCAGGGGGCTGCAGGAGCGAGTGCTGAACAGGAGTCTGGAACGTGGGACAATCTCGCCTCCGACAGCCATAAGGGCTCCGTTTCTCACAAGGGCAACAGAAACAGTTGTCCCCTGCTTCCTCTGCTGTCCCATGCTGGGGATCACTGCGACATGGGCCGAGAGGTCGCAGGGTCCACGAACCCGAACTGAAACCAGGGTCAGACCCTGGCTTTAGACAGGGTGCTGCAAACCAGCCGCCAGCAACGTGCTCTGGTTGTCTGGGGTCTGCCTCTGCCTCTAGTCGGAGAAGCCGGGGAAGTCTGCCTTGTTGCCTTGTGAGCCGCAGGAGTGGGGTCTGGCTGGGGCTGCGACCAGGACTCTCCCTGGAGCCCAGCGTGACGTGGCCGGCTGTGGTGGCAGCGAAGCATGCGGCCCCAGTCTGGCCCATGCCCTTTTCTCCGACGTCCTCCTTGGAGTATGACTGTGTCCTGAGCCAAGGGCCTCCCTGTCTCTGAGTGTGGATGGACAGCTCGGACTGTTCGGCACCAGCTCTCCCACTGCACCTGCCCCTCCTTGCAGGGCCACGCTGGGGGTGGGACTCACCATTTCTTCCAGCTGATTCTGGATCTGCCTGTGGACTTCAGCCATCTGGAAAAGAACGTCTCCTGGGAAGAACGGCAGAAGGAAGGGGAGGGAGTCAGGTGCCCACAGTCACCACCGTCATCCCACTCTGGGCTGACAGCCACCCAGGGAAGCCCTGTGACCACAGGCAACAGGGTCCCAGGGGCGTCAGGGCCAGAAGGAAGGGTGGAGAGGGGACACCAAGAGAAAACAAAATTCTAGAATGACAACGGACTCCAGACCTCAAATGCACAGCACGCCTGGCATCTTTGGAACGGACCTTGAGTCTCTGCAAAGGCAAGAGACAGGAAGAGCCCGTGTGCGCCTCACCCCAGCGTGACAGTGAGTGACAGTGAGCGCAAACATACGTCTTCACACATCCGACTCTCGTTCGCAGAGACCCAAGAGCTTTGACCCTCCCACCTCAGGCCAGGCAGACGGTCTGCAGACCCCACACCACAGCGTGCAAACCTCCTCTGGGGCACACCCATGGGCACGCGCTGGGCACAGGCCGCTCTGACTCCAAGACGCCTCACTACCCAGGCTGCAGACCCACAGCACCTCTGAGACCTTCACCCAACACCTCCGCTTTGAGCCCCAGAGGAGCATGGTGGTCTGAGGCGGCCTGGTCCCACGGAATCGGCTCACCAGGCAGCCACCCTGGTGCGCGGAGGCCTGGGCTCACCTTGCCATCGCTGAGGGCCCTAGGGACACACGGGCAGCACTTGGGGACACTGATGTCTCCTCGGCCCATGAGCAAAAATGCAGATTAAGAAACCAAAATCGTGAGGCCAGACGCGGTGGCTCACGCTGTAATCCAGGCACTTTGGGAGGCCGAGGCGGGTGGATCACGAGGTCAGGAGATCGAGACCACCCTGGCTACACAGGTGAAACCCCGTCTCTACTAAAAATATTTTTAAAAATCAGCCAGGCGTGGTGGCGGGCGCCTGTAGTCCCAGCTACTTGGGAGGCTGAGGCAGGAGAATGGCAGGAACACAGGAGGTGGAGCTAGCAGTGAGTTGAGATGGCACCACTGCACTCCAGCCTGGGCGACAGAGCAAGACTCCATCTCAACAGAAAAAAAAAAAAAAAGAAATCAAAGTCGTGGCGGCAAAGGGGTGAGCGGCCATCAGAGGCGTTTTCCAGCCCGGACATCGACGACACCCAGCTCAAGTCCACCTGTGGGGGCAGCCCAGGGGCGTAGGTGTCTGGGTTACCCTGAAGTGGGCCTGAGCCCCCCACTCTGTAAGGGCCTCACCACACTGCTGCATCCCCACCTGCTTCCACCAAAGATGGGGGCACAGAGAGGAGCTGAGGGGCCAAGGCCTCGAAGACACAGGAGCATGGCCTCCCCACCTCCCTCTGCCAGAGCTCCTGCGGAGCTGTGATCCCATTTGAGACATGGTCACCAAGGCCAGCAGGTGTCCACACCACCAGCCCACGTGGCTGGCAAGCCACCCTAGAAGCCCCCACAGAGGTGCAGCCAGCCTGGGTTCCAGGACGCAGCCCTGACGCTCATCAGCAGAGCCCGAGACCCACCCCCCCATCAGCACCACATGGGACAGGAGCCCTGGCCAGTGCCCACTCAGCCCCAGAGTGCCCATAAGCACCCAGCGTTTGCGAGGTCACCGGCCCCCTATCCTGGGGTGGGGGCCCGCAAGTTCACAAAGAGGTGAAGCAAAAGGCCCGAGACAACTCAGCTGAACTCTGCATGGCTCTTGCCATATTCCGTTTTATTCATTTTTAGAGATGGGGGTCTCACTATGTCACCGGGCTGGTCTCCAACTCCTAGGCTTATGGGATCCTCCCGCCTCAGCCTCCCCAGTAGCTGGGATCAAAGGCACGCAGCACTGTGCCTGGCTCTCGCCACATTCTGCGGCCCTAAATTGTAAGTTAATGTCAAGACCAAATAACAAGCACGTATTCCCTTAAAAAGCTACACACGATGGATTCAAGAGGAACATCTGGAAGACAACATTGAACAGCCAATCTTTTTAAAAAGGGACTGTTGAATCCAAAAAGAAAAAAGAGTATGTGGAGCTTCTCAGGGGGTTCTGGTCAGGTGACGGTCACCACCACCCACCCGTGTGGCTGCAACACTCAAATGTGCACCCCAGCATCCCTGCCAGCCCGAGCCCCCAGCCCCACACTGCAGCTGGCGCACACACAGGGGAGGCCCAGGCAAAGCTGCACAGACCAGGCGTGTGCCCGCCCTGAGCTTCGAGCGGCGGCTGCACAAAATCATCCCACGCGTTGAATTTTTAAACTGCATCTTACAAGCAGCTGCAGGAAACCACGTGGGCATGGAGTGTGAATGTGTCGAGCATCAGCGCTTAACCCCCGAGGTGCTGCAGGCGCCCCTGCCGGGAGTATGACTGTGTGTGCAGCCACCAGCGCTTAACCCCCGGGGTGCTGTGATGCCAGCTGGAGGGACGGTCAGCCCAACACAGCTCCCACGTAAAGCACCAGACCCCTAAAGAATTCCAAGACCCTAAGATCAGCAGTGAGAGGCACCGGTAGGGATAGTGAGTTCTGCTGAGCAACTAAGTCTTGTCTGCAGTTCCCTGTGTCCTTCAGGGGCCTGAAGAAGGAGTAGCAAGGTCTGAGCCATCGAGAGCCTCCCCTGGGGTGAGACGTGAGGCCTTGTGTTCTTGGGCTCCCTCATCTCTTCATCTCTCCACGCTCCCTCCCATGTGGCAGGCAGACTTATCCAGGCCCACCCTGCTGGGGGACAGAGTCTACCAGGCTTCCTAAGCAGCCTCACCTATCAGATGCCACCCACCCGCTGGGAAGCCCACATCTCGTCCACAGCACAGGCGGGTCCTTAACTCAAAAGACGAGGTTCAAATGTAAGCTGAGTGCCAGTGGGCCAGGGCACACAGTACGTGAGCCAGAACAGACCGGCAGAGCCATCACCGTCGGAAGGATCCAGGGATCTGGGGTGCTGGGGGTGATGGACAGCAGGTGGCCACGCCTCGGGATGTAGGTGTGGGAGTGCAGCGGTGTCGCACCCAGGCTGATGGGTCAACCAGCTCTGGGCAGCTCACACCACTGGCCCAGGGCTGCCTAGGGGTGCTGGGGAGTGGGGACGGGAAGGAGCATCGGAGGGCAGGAAAGGGAGCACATGTGGGAGTCACGGGCGACGTGTTTCCTTTGGGATGAAAGTCTAAAAACCACACAGGCATCCTGAAAATGAGGCCTCTCTTTTTTCAACCATCTACCAATGGACTGCCATGAGTGAAGCAGCAGCCGGTCTGCACTGGGGTCACCGTGGGCCTCACCCCACCAGCTCCACCTCCACCTTGGACAGGGCGGTCGCCAGGCTAAGACTGAAACCTGCTCCACGGGACTGTGACTGGGGAGCCCAGCCTCCTGTGGACGGGCTGAGCGCAGTGATGAGGACAGGGCAGCCTCAGGACCCTGGCTGGGGCCCCTGCTCCCCAGCAGAGAAAACAGCACCTGAGTCAGGTGAGGCTGCAGAGCCCAGGCCCCAGGCGTGCCCGGCCAGCATCTTTCTGTCCTCGAGTAGGTTCTGCTTGGGGGCAGCACCTGGCGGAGAGGGGCCTTTCCATCTGCTGAGTCCCCAGCTCCTTTCTGGAGTCCCAGCAGAGCTTGGTGAGACCCCACGACAGCTCTCGATCTCTCCTGAAGGCTGAGCCCGGTCTCACTCCCCGAAGGTCTTACCCCGACCTGCATGGGACTGTCACCCTACTTTGCAGGAGAGGGACCTGCCACCCCTACAGCTCGAGGCTGACTCGGGGCTGAGCAGGCTGGAGGTCAAACACCCCAAAACTCCAGAGGCTGCATCCTCAAGATCTGCTGCCAGCCAGGAGCAGCGGAGAGCACAGTCAGAGAGGAGTGGAGGCTGCAGTTCAGGAAGGCAGACGCCCGGCTCCCACCCAAGATGACACCAACAGCCGCATATATGCCCAGCTCCCACCCGAGACAGCACCCGCACCCACAGCACCCAGCTCCAAGATGGCACTTGCACCCACAATGCCCACCTCCCACCCAAGACAGCACCTGCACCCAGAGCGCCCAGCTCCCATCCGAGATGGCACCTGCACCCACGGCACCCAGCTCCCACACAATACGGCACCCGCACCCACAGCACCCAGATCAAAGATGGCACCTGCACCCAAGACGGCACTCGCACCCACAGCACCCATCTCCCATCCGAGACAGCACCCGCACCCACAGTGCCTGGCTCGCACCTGAGACGGCACCCGCACCCCAGCCACCTGCATGCTCAGCACCACCAGCCTCAGGACGGGCAGGAAGCCCAAGCATCTGTCCTCCCAACATTGGGCTTTTTTTTTTTTTTAATTGGGAAAAATTCACATAACATAAAATTCACCATTTTTACCTTTTTTTTTTTTGAGACAGTCTCTCTGTCACCCAGGCTGAAGTACAGTGGCACAATCTCGGCTCACTGCAAGCTCCACCTCCCAGGTTCAAGAGATTCTCCTGCCTCAGCCTCCTGAGTAGCTGGGACTACAGGCGCCCGCCACCAAGCCCGGCTAATTTTAGTATTTTTAGTAGGGATGGGGTTTCACCATGTTGGCCAGACTGGTCTCAAACTCCTGACCTCAGGTGATCCACCCACCCCACCCCGCCAAAGTATTGGGATTACAGGCGTGAGCCCCCGCACCCGGCCAAGAAATTGAGACTGTGGCTGGTGCGGGGATTGAGTCCACGACCGTGGCATCAGCACCATGAGCTCAGCAATTGAGCTAACCGACCGCCTTGACATTTTCATCACCCCGAAGAGAAACCCATGCCCCCCAGCAGTTGCTCCCTAGCTCCAGGGAACCAGTCTGTGGAGTGGCCTATTCCCAATCCTTCACATCACTGCAATCATACAGGACCCTGTGTGTCTGGCTTTTCTCCCTGGGCACAGTGTCTTTAGGCTCCATCCACGGTGTAGCCTGCCTCAGAGTCTCCTTCTTGTCTTTTCACAGACAGCGGTCTCACTCTGTCACCAGCCTGGAGTGCAGTGCCACAGTCATGGCTCACTGCAGCCTCCAACTCCTGGGTTGGAGGG